CAGTGAGCAGTAACTATGTTGGGTTTGTTGGTTTGGGGTTGAGGGGGACAGTCCCACCACCAAAGGGGAGGTTTGGCACTAGGGGGACAATGCCACCACCACAGGGGAGGTTTGGGCATTGGGGGTACAATGCTACCACCAAAGGGGAGGTTTGGCACCGAGGGGACAATGCCACCACCAAAGGGATGGTGTCACCACCACAGGGTTTTGGGGCTGGGGGGGACAATGCCACCACCACAGGAGCAGTGCCACCACCAAAAGGGAGTTTTAGGGCTGGGGGGGACAATGCCACCACCAAAGGGGTGGTGTCACCACCACAGGGGAGTTTTGGCACTGGGGGGACAATGCCACCACCAAAGGCGACGTGGGTGGTGCAGCTGCCCCAACCTGGTGGTGGCATCACTGGGGACATCACCCTCCTGCCACCGTGGGGCTGGATGCAGTCACTGAGGTGCTGTTCTTGGGGGACACCAGAACAGGGACACACCTTGTCACTGTCCCACTGGCCACCTCTGTCCCCGCAGGCTGTTCAAGGAGCAGCATGAGGACCTGGTGGACCACGTCCCCAAGGAGCGGGAGGTGCTGCTGGAGCGCGAGTTCCAGCGCGTCACCATCTCCGGGGAGGAGAAGTGTGGGGTGAGCCTCCCCCTGACCCCCCAGAACCTGACTGAGGGTCTCCAGGCTGCCAACTCCACCTCTGGGGGTGCTTTTCTTTGGTGTCCCTTCTCCAGGTGCCCTTCACAGACCTCCTGGATGCAGCCAAGAGCGTGGTCAAGGCTCTGTTCGTGCGAGAGAAATACATGGGCTTGTCCCTCCAGAGCTTCTGCAAGACCACGGCGAGATACCTGCAGGAGCTCTCTGAGAAGCCCCTGGAGACACGTGGCTATGAGGAGGTGTCTGAGACCACTGTGACTGCTGGTGAGCACTGGGTGGGGAGTTTCCATGCTGGGATGGAGGCTGGAGAAACTTTTGGGGTGCTATCATAGTATATTGAGGGGTTGGATGGAGCTTAGAGATCATCTAGTGCCAACCCCCTGCCCTGGACAGGGACACCTCCCACCAGAGCAGGTTGCTCAAGGCTTTAGCCAACCTGAGCACTGCCAGGGTTGGGTTTGGGGTGATGTTGGGTGTCTCCTGGCTGCAGATGCCCCTGTGCACCCCCCATTTGCTGAGCAGCACCCCTATGAGGCCTGGGACCCCCAGAGTTCACAGCCTTCCTGGGCATCCACAGCCTCCCTGGGGCATCCAGAACCTTGGGGCAACCACAACCTCCCTGAGCAACCTGTTGCCACCACCTGTGGCAATAATGCCACCTCCTGCCCACAGAAGGGACTGGGAGAAACTTGGGTGGCACTGTGAGAACCTCCAGGGGGGTATCATAGTACAGTATGCTAAAGGGTTGGATGGAGCTTAGAGATCATCCAGTGCCAATCCCCTGCCCTGGGCAGGGGCACCTCCCACCAGAGCAGGTTGCTCAAGGCTTTAGCCAACCTGAGCACTGCCAGGGTTGGGTTTGGGGTGATGTTGGGTGTCTCCTGGCTGCAGATGCCCCTGTGCACCCCCCATTTGCTGAGCAGCACCCCTATGAGGCCTGGGACCCCCAGAGCATGCCAGCAGACCTGGGCTTTGGGCTGAAGATGGTTGATGGTGTTGTGCATGTCTACACCAAGAGGGACCCCACAGACAAGTGAGTGTGAGGATGGAGGTCCTGCTGCTGCTGGGGTGAGTTTTGGGGGGCTGAGTGCCACTGGCTGGTGTCCCTGTGTGTGACCCCACCTGTGTCCCCCCCAGGAGCACAGAGCTGGACCTGCCTTACCCTGACCTGCAGGAATTCATCGCTGACATGAATTTCCTCATGGCTTTGATCATCAATGGACCCATGTAAGGGGAAAGGTCTCACCATAGGGGGTCTTGGGGGTGGTCCCACCACGGGGATGTGCCTGAACCTTGAGGACAGTCCAAAAGGCCACGGCAGTGGCTGTAACACGTGGTGCTGGTGCAGCCTCCATGTCCTTGTTCATGGTCCAAGAGTCCATGGAGCTGTGTCCTCTCCTCCTAGTGGGCTCCAGCCTTTTGGGGCTGGATGTTCTCCCTCCTCATCCCCCAACTTGACCTCCCCTTCCTGTTTTGGGCAGCAAATCCTTCTGCTACCGTCGGCTGCAGTACCTGAGCAGCAAGTTCCAGATGCATGTGCTGCTCAACGAGATGAAGGAGTTGGCAGCCCAGAAGAAGGTGCCCCACCGCGACTTCTACAACATCCGCAAGGTACCTGTGGATCCTGGGGGATTCCTGGAGGGGTCCTGGTTCGTGGAATGGTCCTGGGTCGTGGTGGGAGGGTCCTGGCTTGACTGGGAGCTCTTGGAGGGTCTGAGGGCTGAGCATCACCTCTCTGGTGCAGGTGGACACCCACATCCACGCCTCGTCCTGCATGAACCAGAAGCATCTCCTGCGCTTCATCAAGCGAGCAATGAAGAAGCACCTGGATGAGATTGTCCACGTGGAGAAGGGGAAGGAGCAGACGCTCAAGGAGGTGTTTGAGACCATGAACCTCACTGCCTACGACCTGAGTGTGGACACACTGGATGTCCATGCTGTAAGGGGCCACCCCAACCCTGGAGATGAGCTGAGCCCTCAGCCCAGCCCTGGTTGGGGTGGGGGATGTTCTCCAGAGGTTTGGATGGTGCTGGGGGCTCTGGCTAGGGGTGTGGTGGGTGCTGAGTGGTCTCTGCTCAGTGCTGTGTCCCACCACCAGGACCGTAACACCTTCCACCGCTTCGACAAGTTCAACGCCAAGTACAACCCCATCGGGGAGTCCATCCTGAGGGAGATCTTCATCAAGACAGACAACCGTGTCTCGGGGAAGTACTTTGCACACATCATCAAGGTGACACTGACC